CGCACCGCACCGCACCGCACCGCACCGTAACCCCCCCCCACCCCCACCCCCGCGCGCTGCGGTGGTCTCAGATGCGGGTTTAAAATAAGCATTTTAAAATGTTTTCAAAATAAGTCTGGCACTTTGGAGAAAACTCAGGACTCACTGGAGGGATCATGTACCCCTCTGGTCTGGGAACGTCTCGGTGTCCCCCAGGACGAGCTGGAAAGTGTCGCTGYGCAAAGCGCGGGGTCTCTCCTCGTATTTTTATCCTAAGTTTCTCTTACTTTTGTTCGTACAAAGGGTTTGTACGAACATGTCACGTCAGATTCAACAAACACTTCTACCTTCAGGAAACGTGCGTAAATGAGCTTGAGCATGAGGCCCATTAAGTCTTGAAACATCTGTCAACGCCTAGATTACTACTTTGACTCATCTAGATTGTTTGTACTACTCATTGTCTAAATCTGTTTAATGCTACTGTGTTTTATGTATATTTTTCTTTTCTACAATGTAACTTTTGTTTCAACTGTGACATGTGCTTCTGACCTGTTGACCAGGTCACCCTTGGAAAAGAGATCTTGATCTCTATCGGGTTAAATAAAGGTGATTGGTTGGTTGGTTGGTTGGTTGGTTGGTTGGTTGGTTGGTTGGTTGGTTGGTTGGTTGGTTGGTTGGTTGATTGATTGATTGATTGATTGATTGATTGATTGATTGATTGATTGATTGATTGATTGATTGATTGATTGATTGATTTCTAACATTGCCCAAGTTTCTTTCATCCAATAAAAATCTTTACCTCTTCATCTCTACCTCTTATCTTGTTGCTAGAACTTCAAACCATAGCAGGTTTTAACCTACATTTCACTCTTGTTGCTATCCTCTGTTACAAATCTACTCTACCCTGCCTGCTCTCTTCTTCACTTCTTGTCCACCAACGGTTGACTCCAAATACTTAAACTCATTCATCTTCAATACCTTTAGTACCAACAGCTTTACGGTTCCATGTGGCTCCCTCTCATTCACAAACATGGATTCTGTTATGTTTCTGTTGGATTTTATTCTTCTTCTCACCAGAGAATACCTCTACAACTTCAGGCTTTCTTCCACCTTCTTCCTACTCTCACTGCAGATCACGATCACAAGCTGGATAGATTGGCCTCATCTGCATAATAATAGCTGATAATAACAAATGACTGATAATATTGTGCATCTCTAAAATATGTTTGATTTTGTATTGTTTCTACATTAATAGAGCTAAATCTTAAATTTCTCCCTTGGCTTTGCTACCATTTTTATTGTTTCGGTATTTTGATATCCAAACAGAACTTGAAGCCATTGTCAGAAGCCACGTCACTGTATTTCTACAAATAAAGAGTCATCTAAACTTTTTATAATACATGGTATTTTGAAGTCTAAGGATACTCTTTTGTACACGAATATTGAAATACACGTGTTACATATTTTAGATGGACAAGTGTGTAAGTGTTTCTCATGCCTGAGCTCATTGTCTGTTGTAAAGGCCTTGTCACTCTATATGTTTGACAACTTATGCAACTTGTGAAACTTTTTCTATGTCTAAATTATTATTAAAAGTTCTATATTTGATCAGTTTGTTAACATAACAGCTGAATTTTTTAATTCTGTCTTCAACGCAAATGTCTTGAAAATTTTCATAAGCTGGCATAAGTTGTCTAAAACATCATAGGATGA